AAGTGACAGTCAAGGCGAAAAGGAGCTCTTAAGGTTAGTGATCATTACTGGTCATCACGAGACCATGACCTTGGGAAGGCCAAGTACGTGAGGCCTCTAGCGCACTCCTACCTAGGATCCTCCCTTCCTTCTCTGAACCCTTTCCTTGAGATTTTTGTTAAGGTGACTAATAGAGGAAACCCATTTAATTTCGGTCCTTCAACCATTAATTCCGATATCCCATTATCCTATATATTGATTCAGACCAATAACCCTAGTTGCTTTAAGAGTCCCCTTGGTTTCTAGTCAATCACATCCTAGTGAGCAGTGAGCCAAACACTAGGAGGCCTACTCAACAGACTAATCTTTTGAGACCCTACCCTAGGTAGAAGCTGACAATCATACTCGTCCACCCTCGTTGCCTAGTTTTCTAGGGAAGAGGGTCATACTTCCTTGTCCCAAGGTGGGGACCCCTCTTCTTAGTCTAGTGGGCATGCTCGTCCGCCCTCGTTGCCTAGTTTTCGATGGAGGAGGGCCATATTTCCTTGTCTCTAGGTGGGAACCCCTCCTCTTAGTCCAGTGAGCTAGTCGAACAATGGTGTTCAGTAGGTGAGAATACCATTCCCGTAGTGAGGGGAGGCTAGTCTCGCATTTCACTCTTGTCCACCCTTGGTGAAGGGTCCATTTTTGTCACTTAGGGCGTCACACCTACGTGTAGGGAATTGCACTTGGGGGGCGTCGCGCTTGGCACTATTATCCATACTGGTCTTGTTGCGAGTGAATGTTTTTCTTCGTAGAAATGTCTTTGGTTTGACAGCCTGCACAAAAAATCATTTAGGCAATTTCCAAGACTTCATATTTAGAAAAAAGGAAGAGGGAGAGACAGATGAAAATACGAAATAGAACTAGAAAAGAGGTAGAGACAGAGATAGTGGGAAATGGCTGATACCGAGGTTGGTGTTCTCTTGGAGAACTTGAAGCAAATTTTAAGCACTTGTCTTGATTTTTCTGTTGTGGAGCCGGATCGAATCGAATCTCTTTGTGAGGATCTTGAACTCATAAGAGCCTTCCTCAAATATTCAGGAGAAAATGGCAACGGACATGTCGAATTGGAAGTTTTAGTAACACATATTAGAGATGTGGTCTGCAAGGCATTAGAGAAGTTGGACTATGTAGTTAATTGCCTTACAGAGAAGGATGAATGGGTGGCTGGGAATATCGTTCGTCTCTTTGTTAAATCTCCAGTGCTCAAAGATTTTGCAGAAGAATTCGCGTCTATAAAGAAGGAGATTACAGAGATATATCATTGGAATTTGGATGGCGTCGGAGTACCACAAGTGGGAACATCTTCCACTGAAAATTTGCCAAGAGGGAATAGTCCCACTGTGGAGGAAGAAACTGTGGTGGGCTTTGATGATGACGCAATGACAATTATAGAACGACTTACTGGAGTACATAATCAACTAGAAGCTATTTCGATTGTTGGGATGGGTGGAATTGGTAAGACATATGTGTCTCAGGTGTATAGAAATAGAAATGTGTTGCTTGGAATTCTAAATTCTGTTGTTGAGCAAAAAGATGAGATTCACACAATGAGCGATGAAAATTTGGGAGAAAAGTTGTACAAATGCGCACACTTTCTGCAGTTTTTAACTCAAGATGAAAGTTGGGATCTATTGCAACAGAAGGCATTCCAAAATGGAAGTCGTCCTCTTGAGTTGGTGGAAATTGGAAAGCAAATTGCAGAAAAATGTCAAGGACTACCACTTGCAATTGTTGTTGTCGGTAGACTTCTAGCAAAAATAGAGAAGACGCAAGTCCAGTGGGAACAAGTCGCACAAAGTGTAAGTTCATTTATTGTCGGCGGTGCACTGCAATTCATGGATGTAATGGCATTGAGTTACGACCACTTACCTCATCACTTGAAATCATGCTTTCTCTATCTTGGAACATTTCCAGATGACTATGAAGAAATCCCTGTGTGGAAGTTGACCTGCTTATGGATTGCTGAGGGTTTTATACAGCAAATTGGGCAAAACAGCTTGGAAGAGGTAGCAAAGGATTACTTAGTGGATCTAATAGATAGAAGCCTAGTGATAGTTGCCAAGAAAATGTCAAATGGAGGAATTAAAACATGTCGCATCCATGATACGTTACGTGACTTTTGCTTGAGAAAAGCCAAGGAAAAGAATTTTCTGCAGCGGATTAGCCGGTACGAACAAGCTATTTCTGCTTCAAGTTCTAGTTTTATTGATTGTTTGTGTTTCCATTCTCATGGTTTCCATTATATCTCTGTCAATCCATGTGCCCCACACGTCCCCTCTTCCATCTCGTATACTTCCAAGTGGAGTCCACTGTGTAAGCTGACTACATCATTCATTTATACGCTCCTTAGAGTGTTGGATTTGAGTTACATCCGTCTAAACAATTTTCCAGATGAAACATTGAAACTAATTCATTTGAGATACTTTGCACTTAGGGTTCGTCACATTCACAGACTACCAGAAGAAATATCCAATCTCTGTAGCCTAGAAACCTTTATTCTTGATACAGGGCCAGGTGGCCGAGTTACCATGTCATATAGCATCTGGAAAATGACAAGATTGAGGCACCTGCGTATTTCGAATATCGAACTTGGAGGCCCTTTTCATTATGATTTTTATGCCTCTAAATTGAATAACCTGCAATCACTTTACACGTTACGGGATTTCGGTATTGGCAAGGATTTCTTGACAGGGTCTCCAAATCTCAGAAAACTGGGATTTTCGGGACCTTTATCTGGCCAAGGGCATTTCTCTCTCCCTGATCTATCCAACTTGTATTACCTTGAAACGCTAAAGTTGGTTGATAGGAGTTGGGACCCTATTATCACTCTTTCACCAAGTAAGTTCCCGGCAAATCTAAAGAAGCTAATCTTATCAGGTAGCCATTTAGAGTGGAAGGAAATTTCAAACGTTGGTATGTTACCCAACCTCGAAGTTCTCAAATTAGAAAAAGATTCCTTCAAAGTACCACAATGGGAAACAAGTGAAGGGCGATTTCGTCGCCTCAAATTCTTGAAACTCTCAAATATGAATCTGCAGCAGTGGATTGCCTCCAATATTCACTGTCCGAGTCTCCAGCGACTAGTGCTAAATAAATGTAAACAGCTCAAAGGCATACCATCAGCCATAGGGTATATACTTACTCTAGAGATGATTGAACTGTATTGGTCAAGCCAGTCAGCCTCAAAATCTGCCAGGAGAATTCAGCTGGAGCAACAAAGCATGGGCAATGAAGGGCTGAAGGTCCATATTTATCCTCCAAATGAAGAGTAATGGGTCTCAGTAAAGCCCTCGTGAGGATGACATGTGAGTAAGTACATCAAATCTCATCACAAAATTTCCTTAAAAATTACTGTCCTCTGTTTTATCATTGAGGAAAATCTATCATATGATTTCTGGCAAAAGCACTAAGGTACATTTGAACCTTTGAAACATTTTTTTTTTTTTTTGCTGTAGCATCAAAATTATGGACCTTATTAATACGTTATTTTCCTTTCCCCTTCTACCGAAATCTTATAATTTTTATCTGGTCCCATTTGTTTTTCTTTCTTTGGGTATACTACCTTGTCAAGATGAAAGCCAAATCTATTCTCTTTTCTTGGCTCTGTCAGGTGCAGATGGCTCTGGAGATTCTATTATCTATTAGTCTGCTGGCGAATGCCACCAAATCAGTCCTTGTAAGTTTTTATAAGTTGTGTTCTATTCCGTCTTCATTGTAGTGTTGAAATACCAGTTAATTTGATTTTTTTCATCAATACTTCATCACGGTTGCAGTTCTTAACTTAGTTATAGCTGGTCTCTGATCATTATTATGTTTTAAATCATTAAATCATAGTAGTTCTTATTTGGTACAATGTTTTGTTTACCCCTAACTAATACCTCTGTGTAGTTGTCATTGGGAGCAATCTTCTTTTTGTCACTTGTTCTGATCATAACCATTCATATTTACTATGTTTTGGCAGTTAACCTGATGGATATACAGAGTGTCTAGTTTATGTTGTAACTTGTAATTGGCAGTTAACCTAAAGAATGAATCTACAGGGGCTCCAGTTTATGTTGTAATTGTATGGGGTTGTTGTGATTTATAATATGTACCAGGGTCTTACGAATCTGGAAGAAGATTGTTTATGTTGTGAAATACTCTGAGCAAATTGATTAATACAATTATGAGTGACGAGACGTTAGGCAGCATGCCAATAAAAACTTGACACGTGAATACCAACAACCATCAGAACACGTACAATTTACCAGAAGGAGGCGTAGAACAAGTGGGATACGCGGGACCAAGTATGCTACTCGGAGCCTAACATTAAATGAAGAATGACAACTCATTAATGTGGGTCGTGTTGGTACAATAGGTCATTANAAATTCTTGAAACTCTCAAATATGAATCTGCAGCAGTGGATTGCCTCCAATATTCACTGTCCGAGTCTCCAGCGACTAGTGCTAAATAAATGTAAACAGCTCAAAGGCATACCATCAGCCATAGGGTATATACTTACTCTAGAGATGATTGAACTGTATTGGTCAAGCCAGTCAGCCTCAAAATCTGCCAGGAGAATTCAGCTGGAGCAACAAAGCATGGGCAATGAAGGGCTGAAGGTCCATATTTATCCTCCAAATGAAGAGTAATGGGTCTCAGTAAAGCCCTCGTGAGGATGACATGTGAGTAAGTACATCAAATCTCATCACAAAATTTCCTTAAAAATTACTGTCCTCTGTTTTATCATTGAGGAAAATCTATCATATGATTTCTGGCAAAAGCACTAAGGTACATTTGAACCTTTGAAACATTTTTTTTTTTTTTTGCTGTAGCATCAAAATTATGGACCTTATTAATACGTTATTTTCCTTTCCCCTTCTACCGAAATCTTATAATTTTTATCTGGTCCCATTTGTTTTTCTTTCTTTGGGTATACTACCTTGTCAAGATGAAAGCCAAATCTATTCTCTTTTCTTGGCTCTGTCAGGTGCAGATGGCTCTGGAGATTCTATTATCTATTAGTCTGCTGGCGAATGCCACCAAATCAGTCCTTGTAAGTTTTTATAAGTTGTGTTCTATTCCGTCTTCATTGTAGTGTTGAAATACCAGTTAATTTGATTTTTTTCATCAATACTTCATCACGGTTGCAGTTCTTAACTTAGTTATAGCTGGTCTCTGATCATTATTATGTTTTAAATCATTAAATCATAGTAGTTCTTATTTGGTACAATGTTTTGTTTACCCCTAACTAATACCTCTGTGTAGTTGTCATTGGGAGCAATCTTCTTTTTGTCACTTGTTCTGATCATAACCATTCATATTTACTATGTTTTGGCAGTTAACCTGATGGATATACAGAGTGTCTAGTTTATGTTGTAACTTGTAATTGGCAGTTAACCTAAAGAATGAATCTACAGGGGCTCCAGTTTATGTTGTAATTGTATGGGGTTGTTGTGATTTATAATATGTACCAGGGTCTTACGAATCTGGAAGAAGATTGTTTATGTTGTGAAATACTCTGAGCAAATTGATTAATACAATTATGAGTGACGAGACGTTAGGCAGCATGCCAATAAAAACTTGACACGTGAATACCAACAACCATCAGAACACGTACAATTTACCAGAAGGAGGCGTAGAACAAGTGGGATACGCGGGACCAAGTATGCTACTCGGAGCCTAACATTAAATGAAGAATGACAACTCATTAATGTGGGTCGTGTTGGTACAATAGGTCATTAATAGTTATCTAATCATCAAAGGACATTAAAGTAGTCATCATTACAAGGCATTAAGGCCTACTAGACCCTCAGGAGCCCTCGGGGGCTTTTGAGGGGATCTAGTGCCTTCTCATAAAGGCTTGACTATGGGCTCTAAGTATTTATGTAGAGCACTCGATGACTAGGGATTGAATCATGAATGCTCGGCGGGGTCCCGAGAGAAGATCCAGTTGTCCGGGCACTTAACATTAGTAAGACATGACGGAATAACACTCTTTATGCTAGATTGCGAACCCAGACCATTAAATTATAGGATGGGACTTCGGATGAGAGGTATCATTACGAATCTAGGTATAAATACCCCTTCAAAAACTCAAACAAATCTAAGCTCTTTTTTCAATGCGAAACCAAAAAAACTGCACAACAAACAACTTTAGCAGAGACAAATCTGTTTATCAACAAAGTTCAATTGGAGTGACAATCAAAGAAATTGACCTACACCACACACCCAGCAATAGACGTCAACCAATAACTACCAATTCATCCAGCATATAAGCAATTAATTGAAGTACCAAAGCACATAGAACACAGAGCAAATAAGGCAAGCAAAAAACACAGAGGAACACCAAAGATTCTATGTAGATATTTTCTATCTACCCAGAACGTTGAGTCACCTTCCTTATGTATTTGCATCTAGCCTGTAACAGATAGCCTGTTGCACAAGCATACTCTTTTTTTTTGTTTCATGGTAAATCAGTAACTACCTTTTTTGGTCCTCCTGAGCTTTTTTTGATTCATATATTGATATTCTAAATTCACATGGATAAGACTACAAAGAACAAAATACAAACAACAAACTATCCCTACACCTTCAATAGAAAATGTTTGCAAAAGGTTATTCTGCAATTCAGATAAACTTTAAATCGATCTCAACCCCGCCTAATCTAATCCAAATATCCAATTTAAGCACCATGAAGAAAATCGCAATGGCAATCAGATGCCAGGGAACTTCTGCATTCTGCAAATACAAAAACAACAGTGAAATCTCAATTTAATAAGGAACGTCTATCTAAAAGGTCCCTAAACCCAAGTAGTTAAGCTTAGACTCTGTCCACAAAGAAATTAGAGCCTCCCAGGTTGAATTTAATAGCCGGAATTGCTATCACCAAGGAAGTTTCATTGGCCCCAAACCCAAACAACTAATTATCTGTCCATTAATGAAAATTTGAGAGGCAGCTAGGTCATCGTTTCATTTTTTGCTTCAGTGGTATGGCCTGCATTGTAGCTAGAATATTATGCCAATCACATAAATCTCAATCACATTCATTTTAATTGGAATATATGTAGGATATGACCTGCAATCACATATACTGAAAACCACCAAGTCATTGAATTTTTCAATTGCTTTTATAAACCTGGATCAAATTCACGGCCGAGGGAAAACAATCGGAGACCAAACAATAAAAGCAATATCAATAACAAAAAAAAAAAACAGATATATATATATATAGAGAGAGAGAGAGAGAGAGACGCTGTGTGGTTTGAATCTCACATAGCAATGGTTGTCCAAGCAAGGTCCTAGGCAATATCAACGCGGCATGAAGTATGAACTGGTGCAGATGTGCAGCATCTTCTGTCTGATGATTTACTTCTACATATAGAATTAGATTAAGGTAAATTTGAAAACCCTAGAAAAGTTGAATTACTGTGATTCAAATGAAATTGAATCGGTGAAATTTGAAAAATCAAAAGGATGCGTTCGATCTGTACGTTAGGTGAAAGAAATCATACGTTAGGTGCATTGTCGACTTCGGCTTCGTAGATTGGAATGTTGTTCCGGCTGACTATCATACATGCCGTTGATGAGGGTAACTTCGTCGATGAAGAGAGATCTGAACCTGCCGGTGATTTTTGGATGAAAGACCACAAGCAATAGCTCAGAAGAGAGAGAGAGAGAGAGAGAGAGAGAGAGAGAGGGAGAGAGAGAGAGATTTGGGGGAAAGAAGTATTTACAAATCTTTCTTCGAGTCAAGGGAAATTGGAGACTGACCTAAAGCGAAACGGCGTCGCGTTTTCAAAAAAAAAATTAGGGAGAATTACACCCAGACCCCCTGAGGATTGTAACCTAATCACTCAGATCCCCTAAAATTTAAAATATTATATATAAACCCCCTAAAGTTGTCGGTTAATATATCCGTTAGTAAATTATATCCAGATCCCCTAAAATTTATAGCGTATAATATTTAGACCCCTCAAATTTAAAATGTTATACTTAGACCACAAATATTTCAATTAAAGATAGAATATCAAATATTTTAAATTTTACGACCAAAATTCTTGTTCTACTATGTTATTTATTGAAATAAAATTAAAAATAAAAATCTAATTTTTTTAAAAAAAATCATAATTAGTATATATAATCATACAATCTATTAGAATTTAATTTGGTCGTCAAATTACCCCAATTAAAACTAGAACATATTTGTGTTTATTATAGTTCGACTACTTATTTGATTTTTTAATTTTATTTCAATAGATAAGATAATTGTATGTATTAATTATAATTTTTTAAGATGAAATTAAATTTTGATTTTTGATTTTATTTCAATAAATGATATAATATAACATAAATTTTGGTTGTAAAATTCATGTTTCATTATGTATAACTTAGACCTTTTGTTTTATTTTTTTAGTTTTATTCTAATAGATAATACAATGGTATACTAATTACGATTTTTTAAGGAAAAATTGGCTTTAATTTTTTATTTTATTTCAATAAATGATACAATAGATAACGAACTTTGGTTCTAAAATTTTGAAATATTTGATATTCTATTTTTTATTAAAATATTTGTGGTCTAAGGATAATATTTTAAACTTAAGAGATCTAAGTAATATACGTCTACAAATTTCAGGAAGTCTATATATAATTTATTAATTGATATACTAATGGACATTTGGCTGTAGCGGTTTAAGTTTTATGCACATATAAATCTATGAGGATCTGTGTATAATATTTTAAATGTTAGAAGTCTGAATGATTAAATGACAAAATCTAAGAGATATGAATGTAATTTTTCCAAAAATTTAAGTTTCTAAATTAATGGCTACGGCATTTTGATCAAATGCCGGTAAATTCCTTACTTTTATGGCATTTAATCAAAACGCCAGAAAATAAATGTGGACTATGTTTTTTTTTTTTTTCGGCAAGTAAATGTGGACTATGTTATTGTGGAAGAAAGGAATGGATATTTTTTTGTTATTTTTCTTCATACTCTAGGAGATTTATGCCAGGGGCGTTATCCAAGGGCAGATTTATGCCAGGGGCATGCATGTATTTTTATTACCTGAAATGATACGATTTAAAGTCCTAGTTTGTAAAATAGAAGTTCAACACAGTAACACATACCAAACCCAAAATCCCAACCCTAAAGAAATAGCAAGAATGCAAAACAAATCTATATTGATAAATAAAAAAAAAGCGTTCTGCTTGACATAAGATAGTGACATAGGATAGTGGCACTGTCCGATTTCAACCTAAAAACATAAAAATGGACAGTGACATTAAATGGTTTCATGGTCCAATGTTATTAGGGCCTAAGGCATTGTGATTATTGGATTATTGAATGAAACTTACCGTCAATCTAATTAACACAATACATCGACTCAAATAACATTATCCATGAATTAATACTATCTCCTAGATGCATGTGTTCATGTGGCGTTCTCAAATTACCACATGGGCCTTTGAATTTCACATCACATTCTGAATTTACGGGGATATGCTTTCGAGAAGCATCACAACATTTTAATGTTTAATTGCCAAAATCGTCTTTTAATGGGGTATTAAAGGCGAATATCAAAAGGAATTGCGCTCAAACACTGATTTTAGGAATCTGTTTTGTGTTGGAGATGATGAAATTGATGATGAGCCACGACAAGAAGATGGTATGAAAATATTTGGTGTTGAGTATAAATAGTGCCGTTACATTAAAATTTGAACAAAGCATACACAACCCATTTATAATTATAAGGTAGAATATAATCTTATATAATCAAAATGTGTGTTTATCTGTTTATCAAACAGATTTAGCAAGTCAATCTGAACGTATTAAGACTAAACTCATATCAAAAACAAAATCACAAACATTACATAGCCATCTAAATGTGCCTTGTCAACTGACTTTAGTACTGCCTGGGTGGCTAGAATGCCTCGAGTAAAAGATGATAAGAATGCAATAATGCAGCAATATTTTATCTTTAGTAATCTGAGCAGAGCCACTTTGACTAGATCTTTTAGATGTCCATGTAAAATAGAATTCCAATTACCTAACCGCTTTTGCACTTTGAAAATTACCTTAGAATGCAAGTCAAATTCCTCTCTACCCATTAACAAGCCCGCAATAGTCACAAAAAACAAAACCAACCAAACAAACAGTAACAGGGATCCCAAAAACATGATTCTGGAAACAAACACAGAAAGTCTCTCAACAATATGAAATCATACAAAATAAAAAACCTAGCAACAGAAGTATGCAGATTATACTGCTAATTAAAATGTAGATGTTTCAGATATCAAAACTTAAGAATGATGACAAAGCATCAAAGAATAAGTTGTTGTAAAATATACTAAAACTGCATTGTTTCTTATTCTTGCCCAAATCCTTAGATTGATTTTGCAATCTTCTTCCTCTGATGAAATCTATTCCAACCATAATTAGCTTAAGTGTGAAGTCGCAGTACATCATCTATAAATTATCTTTACCTCTACTTCTTGGCCTCCTCATATTCTGCTTCTGGAGGCTGCTCCCCATCCTGGGACCCTCCAGAGGCAGCCCCACCGGAGCCTCCAGACATATGCTGTCCAATCTTTGTAGCAGCCTTGTTTGCAGCATCAATCTTTGCCTTTATCTCCTCCACGTTGTCATTACCCATTGCTTTCCTTAGGTCTGACACAGCAGACTCGATTTCTGTTGCCACCTCGGATGGAATCTTGTCCCTATACTCGGTTAAGCTCTTCTCTACGCTGTATATGGTTGTATCAGCAGAATTTCTGAGGTCAATCAGTTCTTTCCTCTCCTGATCTTTCTGAGAATGCAACTCGGCTTCCCTGACCATCTTTTGAATCTCATCCTCTGAAAGCCCTCCAGATGATCTGATCGTAATCTGTTGCTCTTTTCCAGTTGTCTTATCCTTGGCGAAAACAGTAACAATACCATTGGCATCAATGTCGAATGTCACTTCGATCTGTGGCAAGCCCCTAGGTGCAGGTGGAATACCCATAAGTTCGAATTCTCCAAGAAGCTTGTTGTCGGCAGCCATTTGACGCTCACCTTGAAGCACTTTGATTCCAACTTGGGTCTGGTTGTCTGCGGCTGTAGAGAAGACCTGTGACCACATATGAAGCCAATAAATCCTAACTGCGTATCGTACACTTGCCACCAGTATGTATAGAACACAACAAACATCTATCCATCCAGCTAAGGGGTATTAATTCTCCAATTCTAAGATTTCATCCGATACCTCAGCAAGTATTTACTAGATAGAAGAAGGTGAAATACTTTAATTCCATTTTGTAACAGAAATAGCCTCTCCACACGTGGAGGTAAAACTGTGTATATCTAACTCTCCCCATACCTCGCAATATATAATAGTCGTCAATTAAAGCATCCCCTCTACATATAAACTTTGCATACTTATTTAAAAACTGAAAGGGCATTAGCAAGAAAAAAAACTGGCAGTCCAACCACTTGCACTATGTCTGAATGAATATGACACAACTATCCACTGGCAAACAATAGATTCTTGTCTATCGAGAAAACCAATTGACATAGAAAGAATGTAAAATCCACAAGCTGAAATCATTGCTCTCACAACGAATGAAGCATACCATGTTGTCGACTGTACAGCAGATGCATGCGTGATCCTATACATATTTGCATGCATTTGGAGTTCATGGGTGTGGGCATATATATACTAAGTATGAAATTACCAGTATCACATTGCATAGTAAATTTCTTCTTTTTAGTTCCTTAATCTCCATTCGATTTCATTTTCTAAAATTTCAAATTTCAATGAAGTGCACTGACCTGGGACTTCTTTGTGGGAATGGTGGTGTTTCTGTTAATCAGCCTGGTGAAAATGCCACCAAGAGTTTCAATGCCAAGCGATAGTGGAGTTACATCCAATAAAAGCAACTCCTTCACATCTCCACGGAGGATACCACCCTGAATTGCAGCTCCCATTGCAACAGCCTCATCAGGATTAACCCCCTTGCTTGGACTTTTTCCGAAAATTTCAGCAACTATTTGTTGTACCTTGGGAACACGAGTCATACCTCCAACAAGAAGAACTTCATCTACTTCATTGGTGGAAACACCAGCATCCTTCAGACAATTCTGGCAAGGGGTTCTAGTCCTTTCAATCAATTGATCCACCAAAGTCTCAAATTTTGATCTGGTTAATGTTACATTTAGATGCTTGGCACCAGAAGCATCAGCAGTAATGAATGGCAGGTTGATTTCAGTCTGAGAGGTCGATGAGAGTTCTATCTTAGCCTTCTCTGCAGCTTCCCGAAGCCTCTGCAGTGCAAGCCTATCCTTTGATAGATCAATCCCTTCGGTTCTTCGGAACTCACCCACCAAGAATTCTAACAGTGCATTGTCAAAATCCTCCCCTCCAAGAAATGTGTCTCCATTCGTTGCTTTCACCTGTTAGCCAAGATAGTAAGACTAACTTGCTTAAAAAATAGGTACAACATTTCATGGGATGAGAACAGATGCAAACCTCAAAGACACCATTGGATATTTCTAGAATAGAAACATCAAAAGTACCGCCTCCAAGATCAAACACTGCAATGGTGCCTTCTTTGTTATTTAAACCATAAGATAGTGCAGCAGCAGTTGGTTCGTTAATAATTCTTTGTACATCTAGACCAGCTATCCTCCCAGCATCCTTTGTGGCTTGCCTTTGTGCATCATTGAAGTAGGCTGGAACTGTAACTACAGCTTTGTTAACACCCTTGTTCAGGTACGACTCAGCTGTTTCTTTCATCTTGCTAAGAACGAATGCACCAATCTGGCTTGGGGAGTACTGCTGTCCAGCAGCTTCCACCCAAGCATCTCCATTGGGAGCTCTGACTATCTTATAAGGCACCATTTTCATTTCCTTCTGTGTCTGAGGATCATCAAACCGCCTCCCTATTAAACGTTTTGTCCCGGAAAATGTATTTGTTGGGTTCGTCACAGCCTGTCGCTTAGCTGTGGTTCCTACAAGTCGCTCCCCTTTCGGGCTGAAAGCAACAACTGATGGTGTGGTTCGAGCTCCTTCAGAATTCTCAATCACTTTGGCAGTCTACATGTAAAATCAGAGCTATAACCAAGGGAAATAAACAGAAAACACAATCTTTTCCATGGAAAAGAAAGTAAAAATATAAGCCTTACTAAAAGCAAAACCCGAAAAACAAAAGGATAAACAAATAAAAGGCCCACCTTTCCTTCCATAACTGCTACACAAGAGTTTGTGGTACCCAAGTCAATGCCTATAACATCATTTCCAAGTGGCTTTGAACTGTAACACAACGAGGACACATTAGTAAACACTGTACACTTAGGATGAATGTAGTGAGTATCAATCGATTACCTAAAGTGTCTTGCAAAACTTGCACATTTGTTACCCAAAGGTGAGGTGACTGACGATGTCTTAGCATTACCCGTCAACTGAAAGATCAAAAACACTGTTAAGTTTCCGTATAAATTGTTGGTCAAATAACAACATCTAGATATGCTAAATCTCAAAATCATTACAAATGTGTGTAAAGTAACAACATCTTGAGACACAAATCTTCCAAACCAGAAAAAAAAAAAAACTCAGGTATAAATGAGGTAGATACAGAGAGCGATAAACAACTGAAATGAAGGGACTTCCTCTAGTTTTGCAAAAAAAATTCTATAGCTGAATCATAGAGTATAAGGCATGCAGTGAATCTAACCAACTAGTCTTTTCTAACTTTTTTCAGTTCAGTATACATCACAAATCTGTCACATATTATGTCACATCTAGATTTTCAAAGAATAGTCCAACCAACAGTATGTAAAATACCATCATGACTTCGATAGCAAACTTATTCCTGCTAAATTATTATTAGAAACAAGATTTTGTTGAGAATGCAGTTTGCAAAGGATGCAAAGAATTTAGTAAATAGGGCATTTATTCACAGGTTCTCAAAAATAAGAGAAAACAAAATTTAGCAAAGCTCCGGTCAATTGGAACTTTTGTCTTTTGAATCATCATTTGGGACGTTTAATATGGGGAAAAAGGTACTTAGAAATGAATAGAGCACGATTCTGTCAACACTGACTTAGATATATTCATGAAAATCGTAGATTACTAAAAAAATGACAGGGCTTGTTAAGTTCATGAAAACCGTGGAAAACCAAAAAATGACATAAGGTATGTCAAACTTCCATAGAAGCAAACTACAATCAATATAAGTATACTTTCCACGAAACTCAACAGATACTCAAACTAGTTTGTGGTATATTGGCTTTGTAGGTAACCAGTCCAAACAATTGCAAAAATTGAATAAAAAACCATTAGGATTTCGTTCTAATTTCATTGTCCATGTTACCCTTTAGGTCAATATCAACAGAGAAAACAGTAGAAGCGATAAATCAGCATGAATATCGGGACAAAACGATTGAGTGAAGGCCACATAAACACAGGTACCTTCAGATTTTGTCAGATAAGAACACTCCTCTGCATAGAGATGGATTTCACATAAAAAAAAAAAACTCTATGAAAAATTACAAATAGGATTATGTACGATAACAAATAACGATCAGGAAAAACATTCCACCTATAAAAGAATCGACCAACTATACCAACTAAAAGAAAATCGAAATCAAATAGAGGAGACCCAGATCCCACCGTAAAAACTTATTGATTTGAAGCAATATGGTCTTAGATCCACAAAACACAAAAGAGAATCTCTATAAACACAAACATCTATTAACACAAAAACAAAATTACTAAAAGTAGCATATGCAAAATAGAAAGAGACTAACAGATCTGTAGGAAGCTAAAGAGGTCGTATGTAATTCTCGACGCCTCATGGATCGTAAAAGCATTGACGTAGCCATTGGATGAATCTCTTCCTCTCAGAAGCTAAAAGTTAGGGTTTATGCCAGGGTTTTAGCCTCCACAGAGAGAAGAGAAATGAAAGCCGAAGTGGGTTGAAAGGGTCTTTAAACGATGGGCTTCGTGGGGAAGGGGAAAAGTCCCGTTTATGGGAATTGGGGTTGAATTATTCTACGTAAATTTATAATAACTTAAATTCGCCAAAAAAATTTATTTAAAATATGTCCATTTTTAATCTTAGTAAGAAATTAAATCTTTTTTCTTTAATCTCAAAAATATCCTTAGGAGTATTAGTTGGTCAGTTTGAAAAGTTGAAAACATTATTTACAATGAGCTATATATGGAGGTCAATAATTAAATATATGAATGCTTGATTTATAATGGTAATAGTCGATTACAACCTTTTCATAATACTTCAAATTCAAATTCTTAGTTATTATTTTGTGTGTTATACATTTAAATAATCGATTTTTGAGATTTGAAACTAATGTGAAAGGGATGAAAGTTAAAGCTGGAATATGAGCACAAGATTTTGAAAAATTAATACACGCCAAGTACTTGATGTTAGCATAGTAACATCAATTTCAAAATGTAATTTACTAACACATATCACTATTTTTTTTCATATTACTATTTTTTATTGAACATGTTATTACTTTTTCAGTATTACTTTTTTTTATGCTGAAAAATTAAAGGTTTCTTTCTCTAATTATGAGTTTGAATGCTGCTATATTTATTTTTTAGTTTTGTTCAATATGCTATATTTCCATTTTTTTATTGAGCATGTTACTGTTTTTGTTAAACATGCTATTGTTTTTTGTTTAGCTTGTTATTANGGTCAAATAACAACATCTAGATATGCTAAATCTCAAAATCATTACAAATGTGTGTAAAGTAACAACATCTTGAGACACAAATCTTCCAAACCAGAAAAAAAAAAAAACTCAGGTATAAATGAGGTAGATACAGAGAGCGATAAACAACTGAAATGAAGGGACTTCCTCTAGTTTTGCAAAAAAAATTCTATAGCTGAATCATAGAGTATAAGGCATGCAGTGAATCTAACCAACTAGTCTTTTCTAACTTTTTTCAGTTCAGTATACATCACAAATCTGTCACATATTATGTCACATCTAGATTTTCAAAGAATAGTCCAACCAACAGTATGTAAAATACCATCATGACTTCGATAGCAAACTTATTCCTGCTAAATTATTATTAGAAACAAGATTTTGTTGAGAATGCAGTTTGCAAAGGATGCAAAGAATTTAGTAAATAGGGCATTTATTCACAGGTTCTCAAAAATAAGAGAAAACAAAATTTAGCAAAGCTCCGGTCAATTGGAACTTTTGTCTTTTGAATCATCATTTGGGACGTTTAATATGGGGAAAAAGGTACTTAGAAATGAATAGAGCACGATTCTGTCAACACTGACTTAGATATATTCATGAAAATCGTAGATTACTAAAAAAATGACAGGGCTTGTTAAGTTCATGAAAACCGTGGAAAACCAAAAAATGACATAAGGTATGTCAAACTTCCATAGAAGCAAACTACAATCAATATAAGTATACTTTCCACGAAACTCAACAGATACTCAAACTAGTTTGTGGTATATTGGCTTTGTAGGTAACCAGTCCAAACAATTGCAAAAATTGAATAAAAAACCATTAGGATTTCGTTCTAATTTCATTGTCCATGTTACCCTTTAGGTCAATATCAACAGAGAAAACAGTAGAAGCGATAAATCAGCATGAATATCGGGACAAAACGATTGAGTGAAGGCCACATAAACACAGGTACCTTCAGATTTTGTCAGATAAGAACACTCCTCTGCATAGAGATGGATTTCACATAAAAAAAAAAAACTCTATGAAAAATTACAAATAGGATTATGTACGATAACAAATAACGATCAGGAAAAACATTCCACCTATAAAAGAATCGACCAACTATACCAACTAAAAGAAAATCGAAATCAAATAGAGGAGACCCAGATCCCACCGTAAAAACTTATTGATTTGAAGCAATATGGTCTTAGATCCACAAAACACAAAAGAGAATCTCTATAAACACAAACATCTATTAACACAAAAACAAAATTACTAAAAGTAGCATATGCAAAATAGAAAGAGACTAACAGATCTGTAGGAAGCTAAAGAGGTCGTATGTAATTCTCGACGCCTCATGGATCGTAAAAGCATTGACGTAGCCATTGGATGAATCTCTTCCTCTCAGAAGCTAAAAGTTAGGGTTTATGCCAGGGTTTTAGCCTCCACAGAGAGAAGAGAAATGAAAGCCGAAGTGGGTTGAAAGGGTCTTTAAACGATGGGCTTCGTGGGGAAGGGGAAAAGTCCCGTTTATGGGAATTGGGGTTGAATTATTCTACGTAAATTTATAATAACTTAAATTCGCCAAAAAAATTTATTTAAAATATGTCCATTTTTAATCTTAGTAAGAAATTAAATCTTTTTTCTTTAATCTCAAAAATATCCTTAGGAGTATTAGTTGGTCAGTTTGAAAAGTTGAAAACATTATTTACAATGAGCTATATATGGAGGTCAATAATTAAATATATGAATGCTTGATTTATAATGGTAATAGTCGATTACAACCTTTTCATAATACTTCAAATTCAAATTCTTAGTTATTATTTTGTGTGTTATACATTTAAATAATCGATTTTTGAAATTTGAAACTAATTTGAAAGGGATGAAAGTTAAAGCTGGAATATGAGCTCAAGATTTTGAAAAAGTAATACACGCCAAGTACTTGATGTTAGCATAGTAACATCAATTTCAAAATGTAATTTACTAACACATATCACTATTTTTTTTCATATTACTATTTTTTATTGAACATGTTATTACTTTTTCAGTATTACTTTTTTTTATGCTGAAAAATTAAAGGTTTCTTTCTCTAATTATGAGTTTGAATGCTGCTATATTTATTTTTTAGTTTTGTTCAATATTCTATATTTTCATTTTTTTATTGAGCATGTTACTGTTTTTGTTAAACATGCTATTGTTTTTTGTTTAGCTTGTTATTATTTTTGTTAAACATGTTATTATTTTTGTTGAATATGTTACTATTGTTATTTTTTTTAAAATATTAATATTGAATGTTACTATTTTTTTATATTTAAATGTTATTATTTTTTTTGTGTTTAAATGGTATTATTTTTTGTGTGTAAATAGNTATTTTTGTTAAACATGTTATTATTTTTGTTGAATATGTTACTATTGTTATTTTTTAAAAAAATATTAATATTGAATGTTACTATTTTTTTATATTTAAATGTTATTATTTTTTTGTGTTTAAATGGTATTATTTTTTGTGTGTAAATGGTATTATTTTTTTTATTTGAATGTTACTATTTTTTATTTTTAATGTTAATATATATATATATATATAATCCTAACCTATATATGAATATAGATAGATATGAAAAAGAAAATTTTTTAATATTAGTCAAACTCTAAAAATTTATTAGTTTTTAATTTTAGTTTTACTTCACTTTTAAAGGGAAAGGATAATCTGATAAAATTGATAAAAAAAACAGATTTCATAACAAATAAATTTTTTTGGCGGACTTAAATCTAAATTAGTCCATATAGAGGGACCGGTCTCCAAATTTTCCTAAAATTTTAATAATCATTCTCACTCCATTAAAATTTTTATAATCAAACTAATAAGTCTACCCCTTCTATACCCACATTACTTTAACTAAGTCCACTATATACTTTACACACCCCTTTAATAACATGTTCAAATTTTATCTTCTTAAAACTAGGATTTCATTCATTATTTCCTCTCATACACCCCACACAAAAGAGCTTCTTCAATATGGATTTCTTTATTAACATACATGTTACAATTACTTCTCAATTTAATTTTTTGTTTAATTTCATGTGTGTTGTGTGTAATTTTTTTTATTTTATTTTTTATGTTTTGGTATTATGTCAAGCTTAATTATTCTTGATTTAGGATTATGTGTGTGTGTATGTATGTATGTATGTATGTGTGTTTGTGTGTGTATGTATATATAATATAAAATATGGTAAGTTTCAATAAGTACATCTAACAGTTTCANTGTTTTGGTATTATGTCAAGCTTAATTATTCTTGATTTAGGATTATGTGTGTGTGTGTATGTATGTATGTATGTGTGTTTGTGTGTGTATATATATATAATATAAAATATGGTAAGTTTCAATAAGTACATCTAACAGTTTTAAATAGATTCATCTAACGGCCACCAATATCTCTTGCGAAACCATTCACATTTCATTTCCTCCCCCCCCCCCCCCCCCCCCCCCCC